GATACGCCCTCGTGTAGTCTTTGCGACGTAATACAAAAACAAAAACAAACAGAAAATTATTTTAAAGTTTTCTGTTAACAAAGCAACTATTAGTGAATACATAATTAAAGAAACTAAACAAGTCGGCAAGTCTAAATTTTGTAATCAAAATTAATGTGACAAGTAACTCAGTTGAGAAAGTGTTAGGTCTTGTCAAGTTTAATATTTATTATATTACGATTATTATTACTAGCTTCTAATTAAACCAATTTACCTACATAAATTAGGAATAAAAAATTAGCGAAGGATTTAATAATATAGTTCATTTAATATTTCGTTTTTACATACATCGTTATTTTCGGCCATAATCCCAAAAATGTCGAACAAAGTTCGCCTAGCTTAGGAAGTTTAAAGATAGGCGTAAATCCATATGCTAAGCTAACAATGCAAAATGCTCGTATAATAATATTTGATAGAACATAAGTATACAGTAAACTTAATGTAATCCTTCATAACAATGTCTAGTGACCAGTGTAACTTTGGAGTAGCATAACATCCGAGATAAATTATTACACATGTATTTCTGTTCAACTACAGTTTAGGGTAAAAGGACGATAGAGATAGCGCAGACAAAAAAAAAAGAAAGAAGATATACGAAGATGAACATAATTATGAATAAAAAATCGTAAAAGAAATGGTAAAAAATATTGATATTTTATTAAAATTAAATGTAATAAACATGATTTACTAAACACACTACGGAACGTATCTAACACAATTTGTCCCATTATAACCCTACAAAAACACGTGGTCAACATGTTTTAAATTTCTAGTAATAACTAGTAAAGAAACACCTGGTCAATATGTTTTAAATTTCTAGTGATAACGAGTGAAAGAGGTAAATCCTGTGGTATTATTTTTTTAATATTATATTGTACGAGATTCATTAACCAGCATGGTTATTTAACGTGTATATATGAAGAGCTAAAAGACTCAAAGTTTATTTTTGTAAACCGTTTCAGAATTTTCTTTTCATAGTAAAATGGATGATAAAACTTCAACAGATATGTTTTTACCCATTTTATTACCTAAATTGATTAATCTGGCGGAGTATAAGAACAATGTTCTTCAGACTTTGATAAATATTTTTCAATAAAAGCAACAGTAGTTTGTTCGGATATAAAATACAAACAAAATCTGACTTGAAACAGCAGACTGACTTTTTCAAGACTGTTACTTAGGTTCTTACATATTGGCCTGTTTTAGCACATTTTCTTATATTTGCTCACTTTAGGACTGTAGTATTTGTATTTTCTGTATGCCAATCTGACTTGTATATTTAAAGTTGATACACGACAAAAAAGAAGAACAGTGATTACTCGCCAACTTAAAAACATTGAGGAGATTTTTTCTCCAGAATTTTTATTTCTAAAATTTGTTTTAATGTTTATACCAGAATCTGCAAATTACTGTATAAATTAAGTTGTTGATATCAGCGTTTAGTGCATCGAGACCGACTAGTTATTCTCTTGGTTATTATATTTTTTCATATTCAGATAATTTTTCCCTTACATACTGAATTGCCATAGTTAAATTTTTATAGAACGGACCTTAGTTATCCTCATGTCTTCAATTTACGGGACAGTACTTGAAATTAATTGTAAAATATACTGCCATTTAGTGACACAAGGTACAGTACTTGGAAAGTATTGAAAGTAGAAACCGATATTTAATGATACAAGGGACAATATTTGAAACTACTGAGAGTATTTACTGACATTTAGTGACACAAGGTACAGTACTTGGAAAGTATTGAAAGTAGAAACCGATATTTAATGATACAAGGGACAATATTTGAAACTACTGAGAGTATTTACTGACATTTAATGACACAAGGGACAGTACTTGAAACTACTTGGAGAATATACTGATATTTAATATTCGGTATTTGTTTGTTTGTAGTAGAACAAAGCCATATTGGGCTATCTGCTGTGACCGCCACGCGAAATCAAACCCAGATTTTAATGTTTTAAGTCCGTAGACTTACCGCAATGTTCAGTAAGTAGCGATATGTTCTAGCTCATGGGAGAACAAAGATATTAGCTCTTCATATGTAACAGACCCCCGGTCAGCTGTATCTAATCTCTGGAAGAAAAGCTGAGGATATATCCTGATTGTTTCTTCTTGTTCTCAATCCAGTTTCGTCCTTCATTGTAACGATCTGATTTTTCCTCTTAAATGTGAAGTCCTTCACCCTGTTTCCATTCATCTTTTCAATAACTCTGTTGCCAATATTCTTCGTATCATCTGCCACTCCACTTGAAATACTCATCAACTCAACACCAAAAGGGTTTCTGTCAAGTAAGGTCTAATCTGATCAGCATGTTTGGAGTAAAGCGTTTTCAGTGATTCTTAAAAAAAAGGTAACAGAGTTATTTCGCCTTTGATGTGTATTGTCCCTCACACTAGGTCCATCTTCACAACCGTAAAACACTACTGTAGCTTGTTCCTACTTCAACTTTGCAAAGCTGATGTAAACATCACAAATCTGACTATAGCTGCAACCTCATGGTCATGGAAGCCATTGCAAGTGACATCCTCCATCTGTCACATAATTCGAATCATTATCTGGATCTTTGCTGTCAGGATTAAACAATGATTTGTATAGCTTCTGCTAAAGCTGATTTATCACCTTCTCTCAACAAGCGTGGAGACTCGAACATGGCAGGGGGATATGTGTAAAGTAAGTAAGAGTTGAATGTAGCACAACTTACAGTACCTGTAAAGAAGTCTGTTGCAAAAATTCAGCACATTTTGCCCATTGTTTTCAACTTTCCCAAAATAGAAAAAAAATGTACCCTAAAAATTTCAATTTTTATAGGTTTATTTCAGAAATTAGCCACTTTTTGGAAATTTTTTTTTCAACTTGGGACCCTAAAAACCCTTGAAAAATGTTAACCAATTACATCATTTTCTTAGAATTAAAATGAAAATGAAATTAATTAAACAGGTCAACAAGATAAAATGAGAATTAAACTTTCCAGATCAGGCTTCGCGATATTAACCAATACGGATTTCTGTATTTTTTAAACTTATAAGATTACGAGTGAAATAAGCCTAAGTAAAGTAAGTCCACTCAAAATATCAAAAAGTTAACATAACCACAAAGTTCACAATATTATATTTCGTGGAACTACACTAGAAGCAATAGTTGTTTAAATATCAGTTTAGGAGTAAACATCAATTACATCGGTGTTAACAATGTTGTATGAAGGCATACAAAGTGGTTTCTAATTACATCGGTGTTAACAATGTTGTATGAAGGCATACAAAGTGGTTTCTCATTACATCGGTGTTAACAATGTTGTATGAAGGCATACAAAGTGGTTTCTAATTACATCGGTGTTAACAATGTTGTATGAAGGCATACAAAGTGGTTTCTACCCTTTTTATTAAAGAAGTTTCTCATGCACATAAGTACAGTAATTTTAACACAGAAATGTTGGTCAAGGAAGTTGCTAAGTTATCACATGCGCCTTCTGAAAAATATTTTTGTAAAGTAGAATATACTATATGAAAATGGACAGCAAACTTTCTATTGTCGGGTCAGTTGACCTCTTGAAATACAACCCCTCTTATTTTCCGATGAGAATGATCAATAGTGACGTGGGTAGCGTACACGTCCTCGGAAATAATAGCATTATATATAGCATGCTATATTTTCTCAGTACGTAACAGATTCTTCGTCATATAGATCTCCGGAAGCACCAGTAAAGACACTGTTCTTCGTCACACTCATTCCTGATTGTGTTTTGCTGAAATAAATAAAGATTGTTTCACATTGTTGCATACTATGCCCAGTCTCTTTCATTTTTCAAAACTCAATCAAAGTTGAAGAATATAGTTTTACTCTGCATAACATTTTCGGTCGAACCTCCGGTTATTATGCGGGTCCTACCCGATTACTTTGCGGGAATACAGCGTAGGCGTAAGGGCTTGATATTTACCGGGGGGGGGGGGGAGCAAGTTTTATCCGAAAATATAAAACTGACCTTAAAATCATGTACTACGGGCCAGAATTTGGGAGGAACTTGCCCCCCTTGACCCCCACATCCTACGCCTATGGAAAACGGTACACCTGAGAATATCACATTGACATACTTTCACACATATGCTTCGTGATATAACAAAGA